ATTCTATTTAAACAAGTCCTTATTTTAAAATCGGGGTAGTATACTTTCCATGATAAGTTCTAAACATGGTAATGGCCCTCTCTCTTAGATAAAAAGATATGGTGACATCATAGGTAAAGAAAACATAGAACACATATACGCAAACCTCTCAGGCTGTCATTGTTTCCCAGTAGGTGGGGGCAGAGACTGACACTGCAGAGTCACCAAGTATTTGTTAAGCAACTAGTGCTTCAGAGCTTCACCAATTATTAGAATTCAATTGCTTAATTATTAGAAATATTGAATAATTCACTCTATTATGATAGAATTAGCAAATAAGTCTTTGTGCGTTTTAAGATTTTTAAACCTACATAAGGCAAGATAAGGGGGACAGAAAAGTTGTCTCCCTCAGCAATGTAGACACTGCAACAGAAAATTGTAATCCTTTAGTTCCAATCTTCCAACCTTGACACATACACAAGGTCAAGAGAAAGCTAAAGCCTAAAAAAGGAAGAGATGAAATCCTAAGTTTCAAGAAGTGATACTTTCCGATTATATCCTAGAGAAAAAAGCAAGTACTATATAAGATTATTTTTAAAATATATATAAAACTAAGAAAATACTTTATTGTATTGATGATAAAGTATTACATGTAGTACTTAAGGTGTTTATTGTAAATTGTCTACTACCCATTACATATGGAGGGAGGGAGGAAGGGAGAGAGGCAGGGAGCAAGTGTGCCAAAGTAAAGAAAAACTCACAAGGATTTCATTACTTGGACAAACAAAAACAACATGGCAAAAGTTAGAGAAGCCAAATCTCTGACCTTAACCCTTCCAAAAGAAATGTAACAATATAAGGAATTTCAGTCCACCCTCCCCTGCTACTTTAAAACAATTCAGCAAACCACTTAATCATTCCTAGACTTAAAAACATTAAACACTTTAATATGAAAAATATTTCTTAATAAAAGATCATTTCATGACAAAAGACAATGAGTCATCTTGATTGAGAAACAAATGTTGAAAAAGTAGCAATTTGTGGCAAAGCCAGAGGTCATTCAGAATAAAGGGCAATATTGTCAGTTTCACCTCATGAAAAAGGTATTTGCCCTGGTATATTTATGCATAGGTGACATAAAGAAGTAAAATTGAAAGTCACAGTAGAAATATAACTTGATGAATCATTAGAAATCTGAAAATCACCCACATAATCATCAAAGTTTAATGTCAAGCACAGAAAGTTTGGGAAAAAGAGAAGCAAGTCTTATGGCTAAGAATAATTGGGGGGGGGGGTGATAATAAATGGTCATTTTCACACATCAACATATCATCTTCCCCATTGAGAAGAAAGTTTGAAGGAAAATAAAATTTAAGAAGCATATGTACTGGGAAGCATTATTTCTCATTTATAAAAAAAAGAAAATAAAGAAAATAGTTCTGGGAAAATCACATGATACAACAATATTCCTTCTTTAATTCTTCCCCAAACCTTCTTTATTTATTACTCTAGGGCTTTAAGAATAAAATGACATACCCAATATTATGGGTTGAATTACAAATTTATAAAGAATGAGAGAAAATATTTTATATAACTAAGGTTTGCAATTACTTTTTATATTGAGTCTCTTCCATGAAAAAAATCAACCTTTATTTAATTAGATACATTAAGTGACCAGAAAGCAATCAATATATTTTGCAAACTCATACGTAGTCAGACAAACTAAAAACCATTCATTCAGTCCTTTCACATCTTCATTTTCATCAGTGAATTGATTGTATTATCAATAGAACTATGCTTCAAAGCACTTTATAATTTTAAATCCATATGTGGAGAGTGAGGGTATTTTGTAGTAATTCGATAGGACTACAAAATAATATGATAATAGATTTAAAAGTAATTTCAGAAAAACATAAATTTCATTATGAAGAGTTTTTGTACAAAAAATAAATTTTTTTTCACCTAATTCAGAAAGAAGCTTCTCGGCCTGTGACATTTTGATTTAAACGTAGTTAATTAATAAGTCTCAATTGCTTGATATGCATGTGGTTTTAGTTCTCAGAGGCTTTTTCCAGACAAATGTTCATTTCTCTATCAGTTTAAAAGGCTGCCCAGTTGTACCTTCTTAAGCTACAGTAAATGCATTTCCGTCTGGCCTCATCATCTTTAGTGTCTGATGTTTTGCAACAGAGAGTTTTGAAATCATACTTTATGGCAGTGAAGTTGCTAAGGGAAATTTATTGACTTAACAATCTCATTCAACATCTGTCATGTGGAACTGTCCCCAGCACAGGCAGATTAGTGAATGTTAGCTGCTTCAATTTGGCCCAACATTCTAGCTAAAGAATTTTTCATTACATGGGTGGGTGATATCAGCTGAGTTTGGAACCATTCAATTTACTCTATGGTAGCAGAAGAGAACACATTAGTGACTAGGACTAAATCTTCTATTGAATTGTTCTGATGAAGTAGCAATGCAGAGATTATAAATTGTTATTACTCAATTTATTTTTCAAGTAGATCTAAGCATCTACATTTGTGAGCTGTCTTTGGTATCTAACTCCATTGCAGATTCTAGTCCCAGAGAGTTTGTAATTGAAGCTCAATATAAAGAGGCAAGTTGAGTTTCTCACTATGCAGGGACCCTATGGTTCTATCATAATTTCTCCTCTCAGGCAAGGTCAAGAAATAAGACCAGGGAATGTTTGGAGTTCACTATTAAGTTGTATACTACAGTTCTTTCAATTCCAGCAGTCTGCAGACACTCATTACTTCCCACGTTCCACACAGAAATTGGGATACACACAATAATAAATTGGTTGAAAGAAAATATAAGTAATACTATGTCTGCAGCACCTTAATTGCAAAATAGCTCAAATTTTCACCATATTATCAGGAAATGCATAGGTTTATGTTGTACATAAACAGACCTTTAAACTTGCTAAAAGCAAAGCAAAGAAATGGCAAGTCCTTTTAATGACAATTTCCTACACTTGAAAATGAAATTTATCATTTCAGAGGGCAGCAAATTGTGATAAATTATAGGTAGATTAACTTGATATTCTAAAAAGAATCTTGTTTAAAGTAAAATCCATAAATTTGAAATTACAATACAAGAGGAAAAATTAGTATATTATAGCATTAGATCAGATCTTAAAGAATGTAAGTTACATGAATCATATGTGAAATTTATTTTAACTATTGGCATTTTGTCATATAAGAATAGATTGCTCTTATAAAGTTTTATCATGATCTTATACTATCTAAAATGTTTCAGGAAACCTCTAAAAGGTTAGTGTCATGCAAGCAATAGATATGTAATAAGTGTTTTGTTGATAATGGAAATATCTTTCTTAACGGGCATTTTCATTTTTGTTTTGTGTGGAATTAGTTAAAACAACCCTGTATTTAATTCAAGTTGGGAACTATATTTTATTCCCTTAAATGCAAATAATTTCCTCTAACTGTCATTTTCAATGTTCCTCAGTGCTTTCTAAAAAATTTTAATTTATCAAAATCATGTCAGTCTTCAAAAAGTATATACAAATAAACAGCAAATATTATCATCTCTGCTTTATAAATAAAAATTATAGTTAATCATAAGGAAGTATTTATAACGAACTCTTTCAAGGCTACATAGGTACTTCGGATCCTGTCAGAGTCGTTCTTAGATTTTAAGTAACCCAAATTTTAGAATTTGAAGGCCCTTTAAAAGTACCGGACCCAAATGCCTTCTTTTATATATTAAGAAACTGAAGCCTAGAGAGAGGAAACAACTTGCTCGAGGTTATGAAGCTCATCTGTGGCAGATAAGATACTCCTTTACGTTTTATGAGTATAGATGTCATTTATATTTTCAAGAACATAGTTATTTTCAAACTAAAACCTAAAAACAGTATATCACCTTATATTCTTTATAAGACTATTTTATTATAGATTATCAAATGTGGTGATCTTACGTGTCTTAGTTGTATCTATATTTTTGGATTGCTTACATTGCTTACTAATGTAATGTTTAAGATATATATAACCCATGCCTATTTGTCGCATTTTTTTAATCCGAGGATACTTTTTCATTGATTTTCAGCTTGAGTGGGGGGGTGGAGGGGAGAGAGAGAGAGAGAGAGAGAAAGAGAGAAAGAGAAACACTGATGTGAGAGAGACACATCAGTTGGTTGCCTCCCACTGGACCTCAACTAGGGCCAGGGATCTAACTGCAACCAAGGTACATGCTCTTGACTGGAACCCAACCCATGACTCTCCATGGGTCAATGCTCTAACTGCTGAGTCAAACTGGCCACGGCTATTTGTTGCATTTTAATAAGACAAATAAATATATAAAGTTTTTCTTTGAAATAAATTTATAAAGTTTTATATTGTATAAATGTATTTTTTTTTTTTTTTCCCAAATATCTAATAAAGCACTATTGAAAACCTTCCATTATACTTCCTCCAACATATAGGATATAGTACAGGAAAATAGTATATCATTTTTACACAAAAACCAAATGAACAACAAAGCCTTAAATAACTTGAGAACCTATCTTCTATCTAGTGTTGCTCAGTCTAGGGGATCACATCATCTCTATGTTAATATTAATCAGAACAAAAGAGCTCTTGTTGAATGCATTAATAAATCAAATCTAAAATATTACATCTCTTCAAAACAAAAGGATTTTAGAAATAAGAATACAAAAAAAAAAAAAGAAATAAGAATACAACACCTATATGATACATCCAACCAGTGACTTTGTGATGTCTTTATAGAGAGTAATGTCTTGGTCTCCAGAATAATATCAGTAGTATGTAGAAAAGTTTCAAGAAAAAAATAAAAAAACATTGAAATATTTCAAAATATCATCCTGGAAATATATAAGAATTTATTTTTATCATGCAAAAATTGACTAAGGATACGCCATTAAAGTAATATTTTCTTGCATATACTATATTCATAGAACTATCTCTATATTACATATAGGCATTTATCAAAATAGCAAAGATTTTCTTATATGTTTACTCACCTGCTCAGAAAAGAAGTCACTGTTATCTTCTAAATATTTACTGAAAGGGTTGGGTTCATAGACTTCCTCCTCTCTTTTCAGTAATATTTTGGACTTTACAGGTACTGGGCGAATTACTCCAGGTTTAGTCTTCATGAACATCAAATAAATATTTTTTAAAAATAAAGAAATAAACACTATTAAAATGAATAAATATGTGTATTATTAAGTCATTTAAATGTTTTCACAAAAATTTGTGTTTTTTAAATTTTAAAAGAATTTTTCAAATACAGAAACACAACCTAGAAATCAAATTTTAACTAATGTAACTTTAGTTTTTAGTTAACTGTTACAGCAATCAACTCATAAAGACTTACTGTTGTGATGGTCAAAATGCAAACTTTTCTTCATTTACCTAACCAAAATGTGCTTATATCCCCTTGCCAATGCATTAAGTCAATCACCACTGTACTTAACACATATTTATTGGGGGCATTCTTGGTGCCTGACAGCATTCTCATTCTGGACATGGTAGGATAGACAAATTGAGCACATTCACTAAAGCCCATAACAACTTTTCTTTTCTGGAAACTGCACCCTCTTCAGGTCCCGAAACCCACAGAGCTAGGCCTCCAGAAACCATGTTCACATTATGTATGATGAAATCAGGGTGGCCTCCTGATCTAAGTGAGTGAGCAGTGGGCACCAAACAGATTTTCTCTCCCAAATGCAGACCAAGTATTTAAATGCTCCGTGGTCACTTTGGAAGAATGGAATTAAAACATGTCAATTTGGAAGCCATGGGAAAGCCTTCATCTGCTATAAAACAGATCTGATAAGCTTAAGAAAGATAAAGCAAAGTGCATGAAGAGGCAGCCCAGAGAGCAGAGACACATGAGGGTCGCCTTCCAGAATGAGTTTCAAAATATTTCTAGGGCCCACCTACATTTTTGTCCCCAGGCTCCCTAAGACTTCCCTTTTCTTTTACACTAGATTCCCACCATTTTTTCTTCTCAAAGTCAGGTTTACTTCTGTAATTTGCCATTAAAAAGTTTTAGCTAATAGACCAATCATTCAAGATTCATAAACTTGTACCCAATGTCAGTTTGATGGAAGAAAGAGAGAGAGAAATCTAGTTTGGGGCAATTTCAAAATGATGTTTCACAAACACCAAAATCTTGTTATACTGTAAAATGTCACAAAATGATTGATAAGTTTGCAAAAACATCCCAAACAAGAATTCAATAAAAATTGTGACTGTTTTTCTGTCTAAGCATTTTGCTGTAATCCTTCTTTTCCACCCCATTTCCTTTCGGAAAAGAGTAAATTAGCTCTCCTCAGTCAATGCTGAGGCTCACAAGTTAAGCCTTAAGGGACTACATCTATCTCTCCGCTCTATAAACCACCTGAAATATTTTGGGTCTTGAATAAATGTTGCTCTGCAACACTTTTTTCAATCGATATTTTCCCAGTTGTCTCTTATATATATATGCCAACTGAGAAAAGTTTCTGTCTTCCCCAGGCTGAGAAATATTTCCCTCTTAAGAAACTCTAATTTCTCTCAAGGGGAAAAAACGAGCAACTAACATCCAATTATACATGGAGTCACACAGTTGAGTCCATGTATAAGAGCAATATCCCTCCAGTAAACTCAACACAAGAACACAGTCCAGGCAGTTCCTGATTTCTGCAGCCACTTATAATAAGGGAGATGCCTGATATTTGAGTCATGATCCTAAGTTGTCCAGATTTTCTCTCTTTTCCACTTGACTTCCTATTTCATTTCTCCTTCCTTCTGCTCCTACTTCTGTGCCTTCTCCTTCTCTCCTGCCCCTTTGTGAGACAGGAAATCAAGACAACACTAGTACTCAGGGCCTACCAGATTCTAAAACCAACATGAAGCTTTAAGGGCTAAGCTTTGTGGCAGTATGCAGAAAGATAAGAGCAAAGAGAAGAAATCTGACTCAGAGCGCTTGACATGCTAAGAGAATCTCTTTGCCAGAAAACATGACCACTGGTCCCTGTATTACTAGCAGGCAGATGTTTTGGGTTATCCTGGCCTGGAGCCTTTCACTCAGATTTCCTCTCTTGGGATCATCATTCTCCATGATGAGACCAGAAGAGGACACTTCTGGTTAGTTTGGTATCAAGTACCTTCAATATCAGAGCCAGTTCCTGATGCTTAATCTTTGGTTCTCTACCAGCCTCTGCTCCTTAGTTCCTATGAGTTTCATGAATTTGATGGTTATCTGACTATAGATTTCCCAGATGCTTTCTTCTTGGACTCTGTCCCCAGATTTGGTCTGCCTGAAGTCTCAGAGTTTTATTCATTCAAATTTGCTTACTTGGTTTTGACATGTTTGCCTTGAATCTTAGATTATATTTATCACTTCTTGTTTAGTCCTAATTTTCCCCTGCACCTTGATGTGTTATCACTCAGTAGTCAGTATTTCATAGACACAGAGGCCAACTCTAGGCAAAACAAGGCTAGATATAGTTTGCCTTGGATATTGTTCACATTTCCCTCCCACCCCTTCACTCACGCCACTCTAACACCCTCTGTAACCGCCCCTCCTTGGGAGTTTGCACTTGCTCTTTGCTTTGTCTGGAACTCTTTTCTCCCTTTCCAGGATTAGAATCTCCACCTGTTCCTCTTACCTGCATTATTTTTCATAGTAGTTATCACAATCAGACATTAATTCATATTTATTATCTTGCTTTTTCCACTAGACTATAGTGGACTATAGGCTATAAGCTTTTTCCATAGACTATAAGCTCTATGAAGCCAGAAATCACTGTTTTGTTCTCTTCTGTATTTCCAACACCTAGAACCGTGTCTGAAACTTAGGAGATACTAGATAAACATTTTAACGATGCATAACTTAATTGACATGCAGAAGCCCAGGATGCTGGCTATAATCCATTATGGAGCCTTAACGAGCATCAGTTGCTGGCTTGGGGTCTTCAATTATTTTTTCTGAATTTAACTTTTGATTACAGTATAACCCAGGAAGAGGAAACTACAGGATAGAAGATCCATACTGCCTTTCACAAATAGAGGACCAGAAGGAAAGTGGATTAGTGGCTCTACCCTCAATGATAATGAGTAAAAGGCTGAAGTTATCAACTCTAACCAATATAAGAAGTCAAGGCCAGATAACAGTTCTTTAGAGACTTTATAAGATTTAACCCTCTCCATTAAAAAAAATGTAGTTTGTGCCCCCTGTTTGCTTATGGTAATAAGAAATAAAACAAAACCAAATAACAATACTGTCGTCATTTTTTGAGAATTCAAAATTCATGTGAAACTCAGGATCTGATATCTAGCTCTATTGTTAGTTCTGAGGGAGATCAAGTCCAAGAGATAGAGTATGTGGAGTCCCCAGAGCCTGTGGGCAGGTTTTAATGGCCTGTGAGGCACTGAACTAAGTCTGCTATTCATTTGTGTTTATAACTCATCAAGTACACTTATACTTCAACATTGCTACTCAGGCCACTGAAACACTAGACATTGTTTCTGCCCTGTGGAACTTATAATCATAATTCTGTGACAACAAGTTAGTACTGCCGCTGGCTAGAGACCAAAGTTGAAAATTAATTGCCAGTCCTGACCTAGAAAATCCATTACTAATATTTTTAAATAATGGCTTCTTAGAACATCTTTCATAAATTAGTAACTTCAACTAGTATTGGTGTTTTTAATGGTCTTTGACTACAGAAGTTCTGAGGTGGTCGTGATAAGGGAACAAACAAATCAAAGAATAGGGTCCCAGTCTTTAAAGGCTTATTTTTATCCTTTTGATGAAATAAGATGTGTAATAAAACAGCAAAAATGTAATAAAACACAGAAAATAGAAATTTCTGTGAGCCTGGTTAGGGATTCTACCAATTTGAAAGATCCAAAGGGTCTGTGAATGCACCAGAGTTGTTTCTGTTACCATCTGCTTTAGCCTTGTCTTTATTCTATGGTGTTATTTATTTTTTTAAAAGAGTTTCTGTGGCAACAAGCTTAGAAACTCAAAAACATTCTACCAGTCAAGATTGTTGATAAAAGCATTGTTCTCTAAATTATATAGCTGATTTACTCATTCAGTTGATAAATGTTTATTAGCTCTAATTATTTTTTAAATAAACATTATATCCTCAAAGCAAATTCTTAACCTTTGTATCCCACTCAAAGAAATATCTCAAATTTTAAAACACTACAATTTTTAAGATTGGAGGAATAAACAGGAAAAAGCAAAAACAGATTTTTATACCACCCATTTGCCATGGGACTGTGGAGAGGGCATTGTAGATATCTGTAGTTCATGTTTTTTTTGGAGGAGGTTCATCAGAATAAGGAAAATAACAATTCCTGCCATACTAACTGACAAAGTGATTGTGAGAATCCAATGAGATAATATGCTTGACAGAACTTTATAAACACACACACACACACACACAGCATAAAAAAAATTTTGAAAGAAAAAAATTTCTTCTATTTTCACATTTAAAATATAGTGTTATTTCTAAATAATCTATACTATACATAAAAGTACCTACCTGATGTGTTTTTTTCCAAAATAAAATTTATAATCAGTATGGCGATTGTACAAAATAAACATAAGATTTCAATAATTATAAACCGTACCCCATGGCTCAAGAAATATTGTGTGAAAAGTACACAATACAGATTGGCCTGATTGAAATATTTCCATGGTCAGAGAAAAGACAATAGCATGATTCAAACCTGAGGAGGCGTATATGATAAATGCTATAGCATTTAAGTATGTTGTGTCAAGGAAAAACTCGTCAAGGACAAGCTGCCTTCACTCTTGAAGAAGACATCAGTTCTACACAAAAGCTTCCAGGGCCGCATTTTCTGAACAACAGAGACTCAAGAGCCCTCAGGAGGATGAGTCATGCACCACTAAAGCAGGACACACCAGCTGGCATTCAGAACCAGGAACAAAGTATCTGCAAGTTTAAGCACTCTTCTTTATACTGTTCCAGGAAACTGTATTTGCTTTTACCTGTATATGACCATGTGGCTTATTTTTTACATCTATTGTTTGCTACTCTCTAGATTCAGTATTCCATCATGGGAAACAATGAACATTTTGTAATGGCATGAACTTTCTAAAGCAAAAACCAAATATCCTCTAAACTACACCCCTCTACCTACCTCAAAGGAAGACTGAGCTTCCCCGTCTTGTAGAACCCAAACTGTTTTCTTATCTGGAGAGAAGAGATCCTACCAGCCTCTGTTCATATTGTGATGATGCAGCTCAGAAACTAGGAAAGCATGTGAAGTTTCAACCCAGCTCCTCCTTTCCTTTGCTCCCTTTATTACGCTAGGGGAAGCACCACTCACGGGTGCAAAACCTCAGCATCCTAATGACTCTATCCAGTCTTCTCCAGTAAGTGATTACATCTTTGCAGGCAATGCTAAAATGCCAGCTGGACCTAGATGCCAAATGAATGTCCCTCCTTCCCAGAGGCCCGATTTCCCAATTCATTCATTGACCTTTTCTTATTCCCCTCAAATTATTTAAAATCTATAAGAATTCATTTTGAAAGTCACATGGAATAAGGATGACTACTAACACTGTGATCTTGGATAACCCATTTAAACGCTGTGAGTCTGTGTTTTTATTTGTAAAAATGGTCGATCATAGTATCTCAGAGATAATATTTTGGAGATTTTGTACAATAATAACACCTTCCATATGGACAGGTGACATCACATATTCTGGTAGGTGAGCCGGAGGAGGTATACCAATCTCCATTTCATAGAGGAGTATTTCCAATACTTATCTCTAAGTTTCTTTCCAGTTTTGATGTACTGTGATATTGTTTAACGGAAAAAGAGAATCTAAAGCACAGATTGGTGAATTAGTTTCATAAGAGCCTCCAAACTATCTCCCTGTGATCACCACTAAATAATTTGGATTCCAGAGTAAAGATGAAAATATATTTTAAAAGTAAGGGTCAGGTAATTTTTTTCCTTTTGAATGTTGAATTGGCACAGTGGCAATGTAAAGAAGCAAATATATAAGCCAAGTCAAAAAGAAAAAAATTATGAAAAAATGATATACCCTTAAAAAGCAAAATGGCTTCTTATTAAGCTTTTGCTACCACAGCAACTTATATATTTTCACTTCAACCATTATATTTATTATTATTTATTATATTATTATATTTCTCACCTAAAATAGAAATCAAATAATTTCAACTACTTATTTTATACAAAACAAACATTGACTTATTTAATTATTTATAATTTACCACATATTCGCAGTAATTTTCTTTTTTGTGCTACACATACAAGTATACATATATATAAACAAAAAACAATATACCAGAATTACCTGTTATGTGGCATCTATATGTGGGTGTATGTTATAAGCACACGTAAATGTGTGTGTGTGTATATATATAGTTTTGTTTTTCAAAAGCATTCTATTTACTTAAATTATTCAGAACTTAATCCTGAAGAGAATTCATGATGGTAAATATTGAAAAATCCATTCATAAAAGTGAAAAACAGTATCATTTCATTCATAAATTATTTTACTTAAAAGTAAAAATATTATAAATCCTTTAAAAAAGGCCATAGAACATCCCCACATGCAATTATTTCTAGTGTATTTTATTCCCAGGTAATGTAAATACAGGGTTATTGTCATAAAATGAAATCAAAGTGATTGGATTAAATAATCATATCAATGCAGGATCTTTTTTTTTAAGTGATAAGCTTACTTGACAATAATCTCCTTCAGAAGCCTACTTATATCTCAAGGGCATTTGGGTATTAAAATTTAATTTAAAACTTGGTTAAGAAATTCCTTGAATCCTTTAGAGAAATGGTCTACGGTAAATGCAAAGACATTATCAAAGTCAGTCAAAGCAATGCTTTGTGTTTTTCCCCCTAGAGAACAAAAGATAAAATTTATAGAATTATTTTATTATGCAGGAAAAGGTTTATATATTATATTTACAATGAGTTGCTTTTACTATGTCCCATTTTATGAAGTCATGTATATTTATTTCTCTGAAATAGTTTCTTAAAATATTAAATCAAGAGCTGTCATATATGTCAGTCTGATAACATATACACTCAGAAAATAAATATTTGTGTATAACCAAATATATATTTAAACACTCAATATCTAAAATCTGTATATTTTAAGCTTTGAGTACAATTATATATGAGGATATTAAAAATATTCTTGATTTTCAACATTACTCTCAAGAAATAAGTATATTATTATGTGAAATATTAAAATAGTTGTAATATTTCAATATCTAAAGTGGAAAACTGTTCATCTTTATTATATTATTGCAGTACCTGTTTCCATGGCAACTCCTTCTCTTCACTGTGCTAATAATGACAGACTCCCAGCACTAGAAAGGCTTGGAAAGTATGTAATAGAATGCTCTCATTGTTCAATTAGGAGTTTCAGGCACAGACTCAGGTTCACAACTTATTTGCTGCCAGTTCAGTAGCTAGTGTGAGAGCAGGACGGATAAGGTGGATCTTTGGCCCCCTTTTCCAGTATTTTTTAAACTATATTGTGCTCCCTGTCACTGTTCTAAACCAACTGACATTAAAATTACACACACACACACACACACACACACACACGTGAGTGCGCATGTAAACACATTCCATACATAAACACTATATGTGTGAAGACCAACATACCTAAGAAGTTTGACTGAATCAAGCTATTTTAAGAGTTAAAATACCCTTTTATGATTTTTCAGAAAAAATAAAAATATTGTGGCATGATAATGACAAGATGACTTGCTGGCCATAGATGCAGGACACTAAAACAATTGCTATAAAAGGGGATAATCAGGATTAAGCAGTGATTTTATCTTCTTAATGTCTCAAGCTGCTTTACTAGAAATTTTTATTAATTTTCCTGAAGGTGCCTATTGTTTAGAAATTTACAATTACAAACAATAAAAGCTAGAACTGTAAAGAAAATATTTAACTGGTAGCTCATCTCATGTTTTTAATTTGCTAAGAAAATGTAATTCTCCTATTTAATCAAATTTGCATCTATAAATAGCAGATTCCAGGGTCTTGGTCTGTGCTGTTCAGGCAGTAGTCACTAGTCCTTGTGTTGAAACTTCAAAATGTGGCTGTGAATTTAAAATATACAGCAGGCCCTGGCTGGTTTGGTTCAGTGGTTATAGCATTGGCCAAACTCTTTGTGGGCCAAAGAGTCGCAGGTTCAATTCCAACTAAGGGCATGTACCTCGGTTGTGGTTCGTCCCTGGCTCTGTTCGGGGTCGTGCAGGGGGAAACCAATTGATGTGTCTCTCTCTCTCCCTCTCTCAGCCTCCCTTCCACTCTATCTGAAGATTAGTAGAAAAATATCCTTGAGTGAGGATAAAAAATAATAATAAAATAAAATAATACTCAGCAGGTTTCAAAGACAGTGTCCAAAAAAAGTAATGTGAAATATCTCAATTTTATACCAATTACATGTTAAAATGATAGTATTTATATATCATTAAGCAAAACATATTTTTGAATATATAATATACATTGTTATAGAATATTACATATAATACATAATAATACATACTATAATTGACCATATGATATAATATTGAATGTGACCTGTTTCTTTTTATTTTTTTTAATATGGCAGTATACTAACAAATTTTAAATTACATATGTGGCCTGCATTTATGATTTTCATTATATTTCTATTGCTCATCAGGGGTCTAGAGGATTCTCGTGCTAATCTTCCTGTCTGAAATATCTTATTTCCCATTTCTTCAAGTCCAGAACCTATCCTACATTACCTAACATGACCTTTTCCTTGAAGACACTTCTATTTCTCCCACTTCTATTTCCTTCTCTCAATTCTAACATCTTGCTTTTGAACCCACCAATTCTATTTTAATGCCACTACTAGAATGCAAGTTACTGGCGAATAAGGTCTACGTGTGGGTTTGTGTATGCTGCAGCATGCAAAACAACCGCATAGTGCTTTAGTAGAGCATCAGTGAATTTTGATTAGAAAAGTAAGCAAAAAAGTATATGTAGTATATTTATTTTCAATTCACTTTTGGTTGGGGGATCAGAAAAAGTTGTCTTGAGTTATCAGAATTTTCTATAATAGGTCTATGACTTAGTAAGAGGATACCTACCAGCTGATTTTCAGATACTGTAGAGGATGGTGAAGAGAGGTTTGCCTGCAAAATAAAAGCATGGTATTTATTTAGCAAAATTCATAATTTAGTAAAAGAACATATCTATGTTACTAAGTATTTTGAAGTTGTTTCATTATTAAAGTAATATAGATTCATCATAGGATTTTGAAAAAGTATAAAATTCAAGGAAAAATATTATGATGCTACCAAAAATGACTTCTAGCATTTTTGGTACATAGCCTTACATTATTTTTCCTGTGTGTTTTTATTCAGCTTGCATAATAGTAAATATGATATTTTACATGTTGATTTTCCTGAACATCTTAGCATAAGCACTATCACAAGGCATCAAAAAATTCTTGAAGGTGCTGGTCAGAATGGCTTGATTTGTTGATTGCCATCCTGTGCACTGATAGGTTGGCAGCTGGATTCCCAGTCAGGGCACATACCTGGGTTACAGGTTTGATCCCCAGTCAGGGAGCATATGAAAGGCAACCAATTCAATGTTTCTTACATCCATGTTTCTCTCTTTCTTTCTCTTTCTCTCTTCCTCTCTCTCTCCCTCTTCCTCCCCACTCCCTTCCTCTCTCTATGCATGTACTTGGGTGAAGATTACAAAAAAAATTCTTCAAGATCACATTATATTTCATCTTCCGTATACTCCACATTTCATTTAATATGCCAGCATTTTTTGATATTTATATTTATTTATGCAAATTCAACCCCCCAAAAAACTCACAGATTTTTCTTCAAGTAACTTTATATAAAAGAAACCCCAAAGTTTTCATGATTTGTGAAATAAAGTGATTTAGTTTTTAAAGTTGTTTTAAATTAAAGACGTCGATATTATTTCTTTTTTAATCCTCACCCAAGGACTTTTTTTTTTTGCATTTATCTTCAGATAGAACGGCAGGGAGAAAGGGAGGAAGAGAGAAACATCGATGTGAGAGAGACATATTGACTGGTTGCCACCCGCATGACCCCAACCAGGGCCAGGGACAAACTGCAACCAAGATACATGCCCTTAGCGGGAACTGAACACAGGTCTCTCTGGTCCGTAGGCCGACACTCTAACCGCTGAGCCAAACCAGCCAGGGCTGATATTATTTTTTTCTCCTTCATTTCTGTATTTCACTCCTTTAGTGTGGATTTTGTTTCTTTCTTACTGAAGTAAATGCTTAGGTAGTTTTTTCAGACCTTACTGTCTTGGACTTTGTCTGAAAATGTTTTATTTTGTTCTCATTCTTGAATGGGAGTTCCACTGGACATAGACTTCTGAGATAAGTCATTGTCCTGCAGCATCTGATGGCCCTGCCCTGCTGGCGCTGGTTCTGTGACTGCTGTCAGTCTAAATGGCATGACGTGGCGGATCAGCTGTCTTCACATTCGGTTAGCATGTAAGATTTTTATTCCTGACATTCTGTACTTTCACTATGATGTGCCTGAGGGTGGATTTCTATTTTTGTATCCTTTTTGAGGACTTGATGTATTCCTTCATTCTGGGTCTGCATCTCTCTCTTCAGTTCTGAAAAATCCTCTGTGATTATCTCTTCAAATGCTACCTTTCTCTGGTTATATCTAATCTCACCTTGTGGAGCTTCTATTAAATATATGTTGGATCTTCTCAATCCATCCTCCATTTCTATAAAATTCCCTTTCAGATTTTTTATCTCATTATGCTGCATTCTGGTGGGTTTCATATATAAGACCAACAGTTTATTAATTTTTCTTCAACTAGACTAGTATGTATAATATGGCAATTAAACTTTAATTTAATAAATGTATTTTTAACTTGTAGAAGTGCTATTTGGTTCTTTTTCAAATATGTTTTTATGGTAACTATAACTTCTGTTAACTATTTTACTATTTTAAATATATTTATAAATTCTTTCCAGATTTCTCTATAGTCCCTCATGGCTAAATCTCCTATTTCTTATATCTACTAACTCTCTCTCATGCCTCTCCCCCATGATAATCTTTCATCATTTTATAGCTTTTTTTAAAAGCTTATCTTTAGTCAGGGTAACTGGTGATGATTTCTGTAGGTGTCTCAGAAGCCCTGCATTGGGAAACTCTCTCTGCAATACATTTCAGATTCACCCTTGTTGGGGCTCTAGGAATTTTACTGGCTCTGAATCTGTTTCCATTTTATTTTATCACCCTGATATTTCCAAACCTCAAGGGTGGCATATCACTACATCTTAAATTTCACAGGTTTAGGACCTACTTTCTTATGGTTGTCTATTCTACTATCCAAGAGTGTAAAGATAATAGATGAATTTATCTTTTTGCTGTTTCATGTATTACGTTCAACGTGGCCTTGTAGGCTCCTGCACAAAAGAAAATCTTTTACAGGTCTTAGACTTGTATGTAGTCAAAGTGAAAACCTAGATTCCTGGCTCCCAGTACCTATGTTCTGAAGTACTTATGCTCTATCAGAGGTTTTAACTTCTTAACACTCTTGGAGTTCCACTTCATTTCTGGCACTCAGAGATTTCTTTCTTTCTTTTAGGTTGTCTTACATAGGCATATTTTAATGGCTATATTTTAGCAAGCATGGCTGCATTTAAATGGGAGTCTGAGTTCCCACATCAGCTAAGCCTTCCACTTTCATGGGAAATAATCAATATACAGATGCACGATTATAATTATACTTAGCTAAAATAAAGTTGTGCTCCTAAATATTTCCATTATTTTTAAAGCTGCAAACATTTCAGGGCTTATTATAGATGTGTCAATATGGGGTTTACTCTCTGAGCGGTGACATATACTAAAATGGAAAACTTGGTGGGTCTCGTGGTATTGCCAAGGACATAGGCGTGTGAATCACCAAACCCTGATGAGGCACCTGCAGTCGCCGTGTGCTTTCTGCTGTTTGTGCCATGCCATTCTCCAGGACGATCACTGCCTGCTGCCATCCTGGTTGCTCTGTGGCAGCAGGATGTCTTAGCTAAGTGCTCCCATCTCTAATTGCTGCAGACCAGGTGAGTGTGCGCTGAGGTTTATGATGCTTCTGTGCTGCAGAAAATTGCCCTCTAGAATGTACATCACAGTGTGGTTACAGGAGGCAGCTAGCTAGATATTAACAAAAAAGAAGGGAGCCAGACAACTAATTAAGCAGATTAACTAGGAAAAGGCAGCTTCAAAGACACTCCAGGGAAGAGTCTCACTATCTGACAAACAGACACTAATCCCTGAGTAGGCAGGAGAGACCGGCTTTCCCATCTCCCCAGGGAACAATGGGCTGGGTCCCTCAGATTGAGGGGGGGGATAAACAGTGAGGGGGAATTTCCTCCGCTGAGGCACGCCAAGACAGCATGGGGGAGGTCCTTCAACTATAAGGATTGCGCAGTGGGAACAGAAATGGTGCCCATAAAGGTGAGGAGAAAAGCCTGGTGAAAAGATTGGATAGGATAAGGGCATGAAATCCCAGAAGATCCAGGAAAGAGATTAGATAGTTTGACAGAAGGCCTGCTCTTTCCTACGTCCAAAGAAATATAAGCAAAGCTTAACAAAGGCTCGTGTTGGTAGCACTCGTTCATGCTCTCTCTCTTCAGCACCCATGCAGGCTGAAGGCAGTGCTGATCATGGGCTGGAAGGGAACAGAGACGGCTGGACTGCTGGAGCCCTGGGTGCTGGGCTAATGGCATGCCCCTCCGGGTCCTGGCCTCCTCCTGGGCTTGGTGGGGACAATGCAGGCCTGTGCCCCAGACGCTGGACTTCTTCTACGGCAAACAGAGCTGAGCCACCTGGTCGTGAATGAGACATCACCTAAGCCCTTCTTTTGTTTTTCCTCCAAAAAATCTTGCGACTGTACCTTCTATCCTCCTACGCATGTATCCCCGAAATGCATTTTCTGTGATACTGTGGAAGAATCCTCTTTTCTCCGGCGACAGACTGGCTGCTTTCCCTTTCCTGCCCAAGAGGCTCAGATAGAAAAGGCCTGCTTCAGGAAGATCTTAGATGTTACCGTTTGCCTAATTTGAATTGAGTATGGTAAACAAGAAGGACGTCAAACAAGTGTGACACGCCTCCATCCAGGGAACCCCCTCCTCCAACTTAATCTAGGACACTGTAAATTTAGTTCCTCCATCATCTGGTTCTTACCTCTCATTAGACCTCTAGTTGCTAAAATTCTCCTACTCATTTTTGGACCAGGCCTTTTTAACCTTCTTGTCAAAGTTGTCACCTCTAGGATACAATGAGAAGACCAGCTCGCCCAGCAGAACCGTCCTCTCCACAACCACATGCTGTCTTCTAAGGACAGTAACAGACTGGACACCGCGAAGGAACAAGGAGGAGCTGCAGTCTGTGTTACAGGAGCTGGGACCTCTACTCCCTTGTGCTAAGAGGTCTTTTCTTCACTTGTCTCTCCTCTCTGCTGCTGCCTATGTTTGCTCTCCGGTTTTGTCTGTTCCTTACACTTGCTGATTTGCTGCCTTCCTATTCCAGCTCCAGATCGGAACTTCACTCTTTCCTCTGATCCCTCGCTGTGGCCCCAGGTGCCAAACAGCATTCCCTGGCCCTGCAGCCCACCTCTGCGCAGCCTGGGCTCCTCACAGTGGGGGCTGCCGCCTGTCAGAGTGCCCACCTGGGGCCCGCAGCTTGCCACAAGTTTCCTGATCCTGCTGCAACCGCTGTGGCTTGTTTGCACCCCAGGGGCCACGTGCATGTGCCCCAGGGCACCAAGTTCCCCAAGCTGTGCAGTTAAATATAAGAAATTATGCCTCCAAGTCCCAAACTTCCCAGACCCCAGCCCTCATTAATGCTCCTGCAGCTATACAATAAATAGAAAGGCTTTACTTGCAAGTACTTACAGAAATGGAGAGGGTTATATGAAACCATTTTGGAAAATAATTTTTTTAACTATTTTTTTTTTAATCCTCACCTGAGCATATTTTTCTATTTATCTTCAGTTAGAGTGGGAAGGAGGGAAAGAGAGAGAAACATCAACATGAAAGGGACACATCGACTGGTTGCCTTCCTCACAACCCTGACCAGGGCTGGGGATGAACCACAACAGAGGTACATGCCCCTGACCG